GAATTACTTTCTGGAGCCAGAGTGTCACAATCTCACAGGAATCAGACTGAAAGAATTCCAAAACAAATATTGTATGAGACACCATATATAATGAGTCACTCACAAAGCATATATGCTTGAAGCCTGCCTAAAGCACCGGTTTGATTATTAACTGGAGTGCAATAAAATAAACTACCTTCTTTGTTTCCAACAAGTGTTTAGCCATTTGATTTGTTCTAATATGGGAGAGAAAATTGTAAGCGACGGTGTTTTGTACTTGTAATAAAACTCATAAGACTGATATCTGACTAATGTCAGCTCTATCTATTATTAAAAGACAATAAAGACGTCTTGTGTGTTACATTTTGCATCTTTGCTTTGAAATATAGATTTTGCTCAGGGTTGACAAACCAAGCTATCGGGTGCTTTCAATGTTATATGCAAACAAAACATTAAGTATTAAACACCAATCCTGTCTAAGGACAGGCCTGTCAACTTGTAAATACATGACAATTATGAAGTCCCAAATCCAAACATGTCAATATATTTAGCTTTTTTTCCTAATTGGGGCGAAAAAAATATTATTTTTCCAGTTCAGAGGCAAACCTTGGGCAAGTTAATAGAAAAACAGTCAGTCAGAGGCTAAAGCTAGGACGTGTACAGAATATACCTAATATTCACGCTCTAGGTTTTCACCTAATGGACGTGTTAGGTTGTGTGATTAAATAGTCTTTCTTTTCTATCTTTCACTACCAGATTTTAATTACAACAATCTCCTAGATAAAATTGGTCATTCACTTCATGGCTGTTTGAAGAACATTGTTGTGCGCAAGTTAGGTGCCATATTCGTCTATATATACAGTCACTACACGTTACAGTATATCCTGGGAAGCGCTTTGTGACATCCTCCTGAAGTGAAAGACCCTATACCAAATGTAAGGATTATTTTATGTTATTCTTATTTAATACATAGTAGATAATCATGAACATACCAAGTGAACAATCCAAACACATTAGAGTTTCAATGAAGCTTGCAAATAGCAACAAAACTTCAATAAAGCCGATGTTTAATAGTCCTACAAACCAATAAATCAAATAATCTGTAATGTATAATTCAACGTGTTTCTGTGCTTGGCTTTACCATGTCATTGCTGGGTAATTTTATACTATGATAATGTATGTGTGATGAATGCCATTACAGGAAGAAAGGACTAAGTACTGGAAATATTAGCGCTTCGCAGTAGCAAATTGACAGTAGTCATGGCACATCTTATTTACTGTGACTGAGTAGCATTCTAATGCCAAAATCAGAGTGCCAGCTGTTAAATGGTTGACAAAGAGGGGAAGTTTGAAGCCAGTTTAAATTTAAATTTAGCAGTCCCCTTAGGAAACTAACTCTGAGATCAAACTTTTTTTTATTTAAACTGTATTGTTTTTGTGGTTTATGATTATTCCTAGGGACTCTTCTAAATTAAACTTCATCAAAGGCAAACTCTCACAGAATAAGCCATTAGTGTCGCACGCAATGTGACTGTAACTTACATTTTTTGGGGGTCAGTTAAGTGTTTGACGCATACGGAAACCCATCACCGTGATTAAGGGTATCCAAACCAGACAGAGGTCCACATGTACATGCCATCTACACATGGAAATTTCCGTATGTCTTTCATGGTGTGTGCACTCTCTCTCTGGAGGGCCACACTCTGCACAGCTAATTTCAGAACAAATTAGACATAGATTAGTAGTTTAGTCAGAGCCGAGGCATGGGGATCCCAGAGCACATGTTAAGAGCACATGTTGAGGTACTGTTGGAAGTTAACTGGCTCAAATCTCACGGGTGTTGCTCAATTCTGATATCACACCAAATAATCTAAATGCATCTACATTATTCATGCTTCATATATTTTAAATAGAGGACCATGTCCCCAGTCAATCCTTTCTCAAATAAAAAACAAATGTAATTTTGTAATATTGTCCTCGTAGCTTCGGGTTTCGAGCCCCAAAATCATATTGGTTACTTGTCCGAACTTACATAACAATAGTACAAATACAGCCTTACTATTGAGTTACACTACTTTAAAGTAATCAAATCCCTTGTGATGCATCCCATCATTTCATTAGTATTGTTAATAATAACCTCACATTAATTGGACACTTTCAATGATCGATCAATAATCACACCCAAATCTTTCTCCTATTCATCATTGTCAACAGATAACCACACTACTGTGAGGTGCTCCGAGATGTTATCCTATGTGAAGGGCTCAAGCCCACAAGTCAACCCCATCCGATCAGATGACTTCTTTTTCATAACAACACGAAAAGTCACTCTTATCTTAACAAAAGGAATTGGATGGATATGGTTAAAATAAATTGAATAATAATTGGTCAACCTTGGCAAAGGATGCAGATGATAAAGCAAGCCAAATGGGCCTTTTCTTATTTCTACTTTCTGGCTCTTAAGTTCCCTATAGGTAGATACAAGAGTTGTCTGGCAAATAATCAAAGGCAGAGTTAACATAGTGCTGCTAAACTGCATAAGAAAATGTGAAGATAACAATGCTTGGAATGAGAAAGGGCTATATGGCCTATTAAGTGTGTTCCCTCTACAGGACATGTAATACTTATCATGGAATCTAGCCTATCTTGCAATTCCCTCTTCCCCATACTACCCACTTGGACCAAATGAAATTTAAAACATTGTTTCTACTAATAGATTCAGCTGTGTGAGCTCATGAAAATATGCACAACAAAGACAATTGCTTTAATTAGAGCCAAGTTTCTCGATTAAACATTGGCTATAACTGCAGAAGAATGCTAAGTGCTTTGGGACATCTAAGAAGCATTCTAGTGGAACGGAAACAATTCCTTGCACAGTCTGAAACCTCCTGGCTCCTATTAAGATAACATCTTGGATTTGTCCATATCTGCAAATCCCCAATAGTTAGAAGATGGAGACTATTCAACATTCTCTGTGCTACATACTCTCAAGCCATTCATCTTAAAATGAGTTAAATAGGTACTCAAATGTAATTAATGTGAAAAGCAATTTAATTTCAATATTCTGTGCAGTAATAATTACATTATCAATTTGAATAGATTTTGTAAACTACACCTCCTTATGTACACTGTCTGCTACTAGCATTCATGCCAAATTATAGATCCCAAATTAATCTTGGGTGTCTTGCTGGTGCGCTTTCAAGTGTATCTGTTGCCTACAAAAAAATACAGAATCACTACACTTTACAGTAAATCCGGTGAAGCACTTTCCTATATCCTTCCAATGTGTTAGGCGCAATACTAAATGCAAGAATTATTGTTATTAATACTCTTCCATACTTTGGGAAGCTGGCACTTATGGAAGAATATAAGAAAAAGCTTATTGCCGAAATGTGATCTTCCAACATTTCTCTCCATTGCTTGCTGTCGTCATCATAATAGTAATAACACTTGCATTAGATACAGCGCCTATCGCATTGGTAGGGTGTCTTTGTAGGATATACTGCAAAGTATAGTGACTGTATTTTGTAGGCCAATACTGAAGCCAATTTACATACAGCAATGTCCCACAAACAGCCATGAAGTAAGTATCCAATTGTATTTGAGGGATTGTTGGCCTAGACACCAGGCAAAGCTCTCTTCTCTTTTCCAATAGTGCCATGGGATCTTTATCATTACGGGTAAAATGCTGCAATGAAGTGTAAAGTTTGCTAATTAATTATTTTCCCTCATTCCATGTAATCAGTTATACAAGATAAAACCAAAAACAAATCATCATTTCACCTCACTTAACAATTTAGTCTAGTACGTTCAACATTGTCCCTTCATGATGACATGCCAGCAGCAACAAAAATTAATTTTGAAATTAAAAATCACAAGGTGTAAACTTTCATCTTTTTCAGTAGAGGTAGCCTCATCATTGTATGAGGACTATCTATCATTAAATAAAAGTACAGATTCCATTGATGAATTTCTGTAATATATTATTTTATGCTGTGTCTTTTGATTATAACACCTTTCATATTGTGAGGACATTGCAAAGTGCTTCTCAGAATTTACTGTAAAGTGTAGTGACTTCATAAAGTTATTGAGGGACTTTATGTATTGACCGTTGTTTATTCGATGGTTTAGTCTTATGAATATGTGAAACTATCAAATAAAAAATAATCCCGACAAAGAGAAGCAGTATTCCTTTCTCCTGGCAAATTCAAGGCTGAAAAATAAGTCCACCAATATAGCCATTAAGATACTTCATTCTCCAGAAAAAGATTGTTCTAGCTTATAAACATTCAGCTTTTTGCAACTATAATAGCTAGAGATCGATACTGAAATTTACAGTAAAATTTTACATCACTAGCTTCATTTAAAATACAACATAATATTAGGATATTCTCTTTTGATGGATTTTTTTTAGAAAATCGTAAAGCAATCATGACGTTAACAATTAGGTTTTCCTTACAACTATTCAATTTCGAAGAAACAATGTCCATTGGTACCTTTGCATTGTCACATCTAGTATAATACTTGATATTATCCACCCTCACAGGTTCTATACCATTTGCTGGTTAAAGATCCTTCAATAAAAGAGAATTCCCTCCTTCCCCTGCGATCTAGTAGATCAGATCACCGCTCAGTGCAGCAATAACCCATACTGAACAGAATGTCCTTGGTTCAATTTCATGGTACGTACCCAGTTGTCTCACCTCTGCCAGGATAATAGTTTTAGGAGTGCTTACAATTGGCTTTAGAGTCTCTGGTCAAGGATGGCAGTGACTCCTTTTGGAGAGTTGCTATGCATTGATATCAGCTGTGATACTGCCCGCAGTCGACACTGATTCTTGCCTCATGCATGAATAGTCACTTAGTTAAGGTATGAGAGAGCAATGGGCTTCTGAGGAGATGTCATTACTTCCAGGTACCCCCCAATTAAACAATTTAATATACTTTAAGTTTGCTTGTATCTGTATTTAGGAGGTAAATACAACATGCAGATAGGCAGATGGATAACAAAGAATTTGCAGTTATTGGAACTCACTGTCGTTAGCGGCAGCTTGATTTTCATATATGACACTATTGTCATAGAAAGACATTTTACAAATGCCTTCCACATTGACCCCATCGCCATTGTGTAATCCAACATCCTTAGCCAGGCTCTCCGATCCCGTAACAGGAGAGCTGGCAGGTCTCGAGCTGGTCAGAGAGCTTGATGGTCGAGAGCTAGCACAGTTCTGAAAACAGAATAAAAATGCCGTTCAATTGTAGTCTCTCAGCTGCCTCCTGTTGTACAAAACAACAACAACTTGGATTTATATAGCACCCTCCACGCCCCATGATGTAAGGGGCGCATTTGATGACCTCAAGTAAAAATTCCGCACCAAATTATTTTTTTAAAAAAACTACAGCTGTAAATTAGCTATTTATGTTCTAAGTTCGTTACCAATTTGTTACGGCATGCAGCATTTATAATCCACATGCTCCATAGAATAACATCAACAACATGTTGGATTTATATAGCACCCTTCACATGGGGTACAATGGGAAATAGTGTGTGGGGGTATGAGAGAGAGTCTAAAGCCTTCAAAAGACATTTAGTACTCAGTGCCATTGTTTTTTTCTGTTGTTATTCAGTTTTTTGTGGTTGTTATTCAGTTTCTTCTGTCAACCATATTTTAACCCTTGCTGCACCACAGGCAGATGAACTCATCCCGGGTAGAATGAGCTCTTTGGCTAGCCGGCAAGATAACTCATTTATGGCAGCTATTCATGGTCACATGCATAAAAATACATCAAAGATTGACCCGATTACATCTATGATGCAGCCTCTCAAATCAGTGTTCAGCCAATTCGAGTTCAGTTTATTGGATGATGCTTCCATCTCTCAAATGGATGGTGAGCCATTATTAGAAGGTAAATGTTCTTCGTTTTCTTATTTTAAACAAGTGGTTGGAATAGGGAGAACTGACAAAGATAAAATAATGAAAATGGAATAAAAAGCGAATTGTCAACAACATAAAATATCAGAAATCATACCCAAATAGTGAGTGAGGTTCTGAGACGAGAATGTTATAAAGTCGGTAGCTAATAGCCTCTAATAACATACAGATACAACATAAGAGGATATTAATAGACCAAAACACAGGCAACGTACACATTTACAAAAATAACGGAATGAACAAGAGGATGGAAACAAATTGCAGGAACCATATTGAAAATATTCTGTGATAGTTTTTNCAACATCCTTTAATATTAAAGAAATAGAGCTCAACCCAACAGCTGAGCAGATTAGTTACTGTAATATTAGCATCTATTTCAGGGTACCAGCAGCCTAACTGAAACCGTAATTGGTTGGCATGGGGAATCTTGCATTTGCTTCTATCTTATCTGCTGACAATTTATGGGTAGATCCTCATTAAGAAATTGTGGAAGGGTTTTGCCCACAAAAATATACAGTTAATTCATTTTGCAGTGTATTCTGTGAAGCACTTTGAGACATCTCGAAGACGTGATAAGGCGCTACATCAGATACAAGGATTATTATTATTAAGTCAACTTTTAAATGGTTATGTACTTGTACAGTATCATGATACTCCACTAACAAGGCTACCTACAAGGTTAAACATAACTACCTGTGAGAAGTTACTGAGGGCATAAATAATATGAGTATTTCCCCACCTTTAATGTGTAATAATGGTATGCATCACACTGTTGAGATTATTCTGTCAAACTCCTTCCATATCTTCTCCACGCATTAAAACTTTACAGGAGTCCATACAGAATTAGAAATGGAGGTATTCTTTAAGAAGAGTTTACCTCCAGTCTCTCTCCCTTTGGGAAACATTAGAATGATGTTAAGAAAAAAATTCAAAAGCTGTTAAATGTAAGTGGAGATTTGTGTGTTAGAAATGAAACTTGTGTGCATTGTAAGGTTTCTTCTCTCCAATTCTAATTAAACCACTTGTTAAACAGAAATACACATTACCCTACACTGCCCACTAAATTACTGTTGAATATGGACGTGAATCTAAAAAACTGGAAAGTATTTCACTGCACATAGGATGTGTGATTACATTCAGTTTACATTGTTATTACTTTGCCTTATGGTGCTAATTAAAGTGGTATTTTCCACAACTTTCTCCCAAACTTATTTCAATTTTTCCCCTAAATGTTAATCCGGATGGCTTCTTTTTCCATGTTTCTCATGAAACTATAGTCAGAACTTTTAACCAATACTGCATGTTGTATTAAATGCAACAGCATTAACAGCTATTTTTAAGATAAAAGCAAAACTAGTAATTGCTAACTTACAAAAAATGCTGTTTCATTGTTTCATTCTTCTCGCACCTTGTCACAACTTGAATTAGGACCAAAAACTAATCTGCTTCCAATTTAGTTCCATATTTCATTCCTGTCATAACACTGTGTGGCAAGTATCGGAAGACTATCATTTTTTATTGTGAGCATGCTTCAGGACAGCTTTATTTCATGAAGCAATTTGACACTGTGTCTACCACCTGCAGGTCACCAGAGTCATATACGACTGAGGTCTTTGCAGGTAAGAAGACTTTTTTAGGATGAGCTCTATTTTACTCTATAAAATGAAAAGTACAAAGACATGAATCTTAAATGTATCTGAGTAGGAATATGACGTGCGACATAAATCATTGCACAAAGAGCACAATAACTAACATCCACACAGTCCTTCACTGAAATGCAAATCTACGCATCCACAGACCCTATTTGAAGTTCAATTCCAATGTTATAAATCTTTTAATCTTTTAAATTACTCACATGAAAGCAAAACAGGCGCGAGAAGATTAATACAGTAAGTTCTATTCAGCTGTCTTTTAAAACCAGCTCAATGATTATATGAGGGAAAGATGTTACTGATCAATACCCCAATAGCAGAAAATTATGGAGCAGATTTTCTGTTACAAAGAGCAGAAACGTGAGATGAGCAGACTGGTTTGGAACTGTTACATTGAAGTTTGTAGTAGCCAAGAAGAATATTTAACCACTGTCCTACCAAATGAACTGGAAGGTCACACAGTCAATGCAACATATATCAGCACTGGCATTTTACAAACTTACTCTGGGTTCTAATTTGTGGTAATTTTGAACAGATTTCTTAATACGAAATGTATAACTGTTCATTTTCCATGACAATGAATGTGCTGAAAATGTTTTCACCTCAGCACATACAGTCTTTTAGAAATTCAATTTCTTATTAAGAAATGTGTGAAGAATTACTGAACATTAGTCCCTATTATCTCTTTAAATGGACACAGGGGTAGAAAATATCCTGTCCACAAGCCTACTCAATGATTATTTATTCATTTGCCTCCTGTCCACTGTGAAAGGGTGTGGAGAGGGTTTGTTTATTCACTGTATATTTTACATTGCATGAAAACCATAATAGAGAGGTAAACCCCTCACTATAGTTAATTCATTCTGGTTTTAAATTAATTAAGCAATCTCCTCAGAGCTTCTCCAAATTACCTCTCCCGACACGGGCTGGTAAGAAGGAGGTTCAGACCCATGTGGCAAGGTCTTGAAATCAGTCATGTTATCGGGTCTAGTTACTGTTCGGCAGGGAATATTACAGCTCAAGTCACCCTAGGCTAGCCTCACACACCTCCGAGCAGTACTGGCAGCGACCTGCCTGCCCTCTTGGGGAGGAATTAGTGCAGAGAATGGGAGTCTACCTTACGAGGGAGAAATTAATAACAACGGCACCAAAAAAAAAGTATTAAACTCACAAAGAAGGCAACATTCTGACCATAATGTTTTTATAATCGTCACTTATGGCACATTCTGATTGACCGATGACAAGCGCTGATCACAGAAATGTCCATTAATGTTAGCCCAGGTTCTCCTAAATTCCCAAAGGCAAAAACCTTCACGACAGTCAGCATCTCAAACAGGGAGAAAACGGGGGGAAAATATCAAGCATAGAAATAATAGTTTTTTTTAAAAAATTGCCTTCCCTCATGGCCACCCCCTTGAAAAGATGGAAAATCACTTTGTGTTACCGATAGTATGTCAGCAGTCTAAATATATTACTGACTGATCATTTTTTACAAGTCACAATCTTTGTAGTGTCAACCTGTCAAGGGTCAAAGGGGAAAACATGCAAGATTCCCAAATCAATCTGGCTGTAGAAACTGTCTCATTTCATTTCAAATTACCTGCTGTGGCTGCAGTCTGGGACAAACTGCCTTCTCTCATAAAGCATGACAACTTGGGTCGAGCTAATGTGATCATTCATAATGGACAAGTCGTGCTGTAGCTCCTATTAACTATTTTTAAACCAGTTCACTGAAGTACGTGATCTCTGCTTGCAGCAGCAAGCATAAATACAGTGTTGACACGTTAATACCAAAGGACAGTGTTAAAACAGGATTGAAAACTTTGTGGTTTTATAACAAACTTGACTTCATCTTTCCTGGTCCATCGTTAAAAAAAGTGGATTCAGTGGAATACAAGCATTGATTTTTATGTTAATGAGGAAAACCGCCTCCTTGGATTTTTGTAGTAAAATATTTATTCAGTCTGTGTTTCTTTTCTTCCTCTAGGAAACCACGTATTGATTAATTAATTGACGCACTGATCAATTCATCCATCACCCTTTCCATAGCAAGCTTTGAGTCATATGTAGTCTCCACATTGCGCAGTTGGAAGGGCAATGCTGGAAGTTTTGTTTTCACAAGTATTCAAACTAATTTCACAATAATTGCACGCTAGTGGAATTGAAATTAAGGCTGTGTTTTGTTTCAGAGCAAGGCCCTTTCAAAAATGACTTCTGAGGAAAACTGACATAAATACTGGACGCAAAACGGTAATGACATTATGTGGTTTGATTACGTCTTCTTAACAAACAATTAAAATGCCTCGCAATTATTCTGTGTCTTTGTGCCACACATGTAGTATTTGTAGCAGTGATTTAAGGCTGAGCCTTTATGCCACACATGTAGTATCTATAGACGTGATTTAGAGCTGGGTCTCAGGCGCACAACTGCAACCACTTTGCAGTTTGCATGAGTATTCCTCCACCCCCAAATTCACTTGCTTCAGTCCTACATCATTCTCATTCACTCTCTCAATTTGTCCTTCACCTCACCATTGCTATCTGTTTTCTTGCCAAGTTTCCTTCTCCCCTTACACTCTCCCTCCGCTGCCTACCAGTTTCCTTCCCTTCCAGGATGTTTTGCATTTCTGCCTCTCTAATTTTACTTCTCCCTCTTCTGGTCTAGCCCTTTGCTTCTCTCTGCCTCTTTCACTTTTACATTGCTTCCCGACATCAACAGTGGCTCGGAGAAACAGACTGAATCTGAATGACACTGGTTTGCAATGGATTAACAGAGCAGTTTTATCATTCCTCTTCGAGTTCAGCAATACAACAAGCAAGTTTTGTCAAACATCCTCTTTAACTCCATTAATCCTTGGGAGAGGAGGGATGGAGAAAAATGTGGAGAATAATAATCAAGGAGTGAAAAATATAGCGTACAGATTATAAAAATGACAAGCAGTATACATTTTACTGTTAAAACAAAAGCTTAAAAGTGCATGACAGTTTAAAAAGCACAGATACTAATAAAGGGGTAATGATGATCCTTGCATTTGATATACTACATTTGCATTTGGTAAATTATAGAGAATTTATTTCTTGAAATGGCCACAGAAGCACTTCAGGCCTTTAGGGCTCATGATTTATATATTCCAATGCCATTGATAGTTTATCTTTCGCAATGTGCTGTTCACTGATGTGTGTTGTCTTGCATGCTTCTTTGAATTGTGCTGGCAATTTTGTTCTTTTTATTTATAAATACAATTTGAGGAATTAAAGAACTATTGATATAGTTAACATTGCCATTGGCCTCTCACTGTGAATCTGCAATATTATACATCTGCTCAGTGCAGCAATTTAATGATGTACTGCAAACTGTGTTTTAAAGCTCTCTGAAAGTATAAGAATTGGATGAACTCCTATAATTCCTACACTGATGTTCTGCGCCTTCCTAGGCCTCTATTCATTTTGTTTCCAAATTAACAAACATTTATTGTCCCTACTGAGAAGCACAATGTACCTAACTCAACCATTTGACCATTGAGAATCTTTGAGTTGCAATAGAAAAAGTTTGAAATAATTTAAGAATCAAAATTAAAGTTAACAATAGGTTGTTAAGGGCAGCACATTTTACTTACTGAAAAGTTCAGTGCTTTTCTTCTCTCCTTTATTCTTTTGATTGTATTTCTTACCTGCAAAAGGATATAAACAAGATTTCAGTGTTCATATTTCAACTGGAAAACTCAGCGATCTTTGAAATAACACTGTGTGCCTTCAAGAACGATACTACAGCTATCCAATTGCACTTGACTAAATAGAATGACATTTTCCCATTAGTACCACAGTAGGATGAAGCAAGACCTGAGAGAAAAGTAATGTTCAGCAGTGAAGAACCCTTTGTTACTATGAAATGTAACATTTCCTTGCAACAACCTAACGTTATAAGAGCAGCAACAAACAATGGTTGTTTATCATCTAATTGAGTAAATACTAAACATTAACTAAACACATCAGATGTACGTAATAATCTATGAACCTTGTTTTATGTTAGAAAGATATGACACCAACCAATCAGGTAAAGTATAGTATGCAGGTAAGGTAAAGTATGCAGTGTAATGAGCAAGACTTTGCATCAAAGGAGGAAAATCAGATGCAAATTACAACATCAAATTTAACCAGATTCACAGTGTTATCAGTAAAAGAACAACAAAAAATAAAGTTGATAGATGACTAAATAACAAAAATCATTTTGAAATTTCAAAATAATTGCAAATGGAATGAGTTTAAAGATTGTAGCTGAAAGAGATTTTTCTACCCAATCTCGGATCTATGAAATCTCCATGAGTAACTTCAACAATAAAATATTGCCTCCCTTTCACTTACTCCCTCTCTTTCGCTTACTTTACAGAGTGCACTAAGCTCTCCTGTATCATTTAAATCCACAGCCACTTCTCTCCTGTTAATGTAAAATGCATTATTCATTCTGTCAATCTAATTAATCAAAACAATAATCCAACATCAATTTTTAATAGTCAAACAATTTCTATCCTTTTGGGAAAATAGAGAAATCTCCTTCTAGCAATTATTTTCATTCATATTATGACATTCAGGTTATATGTATAAATGGGGGAAAATCAGGGTCCCACATTATTTACTGATCCGATGACTGAAATATAAAAACGAACACACAATGCTGTACCACAAAAGCGTATGTTTCAAAGAAAAATAACAGTAGAATTAGAAATCATAAATAAAAACAGTCAACCATATGAGGGAGAAAATTGAAGGTGACATATAGAGTGTGAAAGCTGAGGAGATGGCTGCTTTGGTCTCTAAGCGTTCATGTGTCACAGACAGCTCACCGTGGCACTCAATTCGCAAGGCTTGTGTACTCGGATATTGACACAAGGCTAGAACTTGTAGCTGAACAAATTGAAGTTGCATGTATCCAGCCAAAGACTTGGCAGCAGTTAATGAACAGGAACAATGGGCTGTGTGCACAGGCGGGTTATCGGCTGCAGTGAAACATTTCATATTGCAGCATATCCTTATGATGCCACACCTGTCTGAGTTTACAAAAGCAATTTATCCCACATCCTTATAAAACCAAGTGGCATTAATATCTTGTCTACATTGTATACTATTCCTGTAAGAACTATATTTTATTCCCTGATGTTTTCATACATGACTCTCCCTCTCTGGGGTAGAGAGTTGGGATTAGAACCAGAAACTCACATGAAGAGATAGTAAACCAATATTAGTTATTGTTTCTGATGTCTAATATTCTGGAGTCAGGGGAGACACTAGCCTTGGCAACAAGAGGAGGGCAATGTATCCTTCATCAGCCAGGTTAGTTTGAGTGTATTGTGCAGTATTGTGGAACCAATAAGTGAACTACAAACCTTGGCGCTGTGAATTTATAATAGATTTTGCCATTATATACTCAACTCTACCAATATCTGCAGCTTTTCTAACCCCCGTTGCGGCAATGCAAACAGATGTGTTGAAATACCTTAGATCTATTCCTCAAACTAAAGAAATCTGCTGATAATGGGAAACCCTTGTTTGGAGTTAAATCGGAATAGTTTAGAAATACAGAAGTATTTTGCAACATTTACTGCATTGCTATCTTTCGAGGGGGAAAAATTGTTACAAAGGAATTGAAAGCATTGTCAACACCAACACTTAGCAGGATACCAGTGCTTAAACGTTAACCTGCTAAGATCACCCCAAAATAGTTCTTAAAATGATAGCATGTAAAGTACCTTCCATGCATTCAAGAGGCAATTATGATGGATCATGCCTGAATTTTGGCTCCCAGCTGAAGGAAACATTAAAAATATCTCTGACAAATGTTTGCTTAGGATACATTCCATTGAAAAACAATTGCCATTATAATGAGCTTCCTGCTAGAAGCTGTATCCCTCTTTGTCCTACTGGAGTTCTGTATTGTCTTAAATCTGTGTATATGATTTTGGCTTTGCTCGATTACCAAAGCTGGATTAGCCCAGTGTTCACCTTCAGCTATAATTATTGTCTAATGATCATTAAAAAAGGATAAATTTGGTTTAATTTTGCGTACTCGTCATTTATAATAATAATCTTTGCAGTTGATATAGTGCCCTTTCATGTCTTCGAGACACCTCAAAGCGTTTTGTTTATTAGCCAATTAATTGGATGCTAGCTAAACTATGACCAAGCAGAATCGATCACTCTTGGAAATATACTAATGTAATAGACAGCAATCAGAAAACCTGATTTACCCTCTGGAGCAGAATAGCCTCTTAAGGGTCTATTCCTTTATGGCGAATTCCATTAGAATTCTAGTCAACCTGTGGGAACTCCACTCCAGAAATAGATCGTATCGGAGCAAAGTTCCAATTGGTCGGCAGATCTTTATCCTGGTTCCCAGAAGGAGTCCCATTTGCACAATTCCTTATTAAGGAATCCTGGTTAGAAATGCTTCAAATCAGAAAACTCGGGTTTCTGAAAACAGCACAGATCTGTTAAATTACTTTCTTGAAAACGTATACTTTCCTCTCATTTAGGCTATGCCAGAAAACTCCATCCACCATCATTGTAGGATTGTAACAGAACCTAAGAATCAGTGACAAAATAATGAGAGAATTTCAGTCTTTGCTCTGATCTGCTCCTTCCAGTTCTTACTGACCCTCACAGCTGGTGAATCATTTACTACTAAACTACTTTGGCTGTGACAGAATTTTAAAGGATAAAAGAAACCTGCAAATTTACTAAATAGAACTGACAAAATGTTGTTAAAATAGACAAAATAATAAATACATGATCATAATTGTTTTCTTTATATACCACAAGTAATCATAACAATGCTAATGTACAGTATTTGGTAAAGAAAAATGTATTTGTTAAACAGCTCCATAAACACAAGTTTATACGGTTTTGAAAATGACGTGAGGTCAAGGTGACATTGATCAGCTCTGAAAAGGTCCAAGACTGTTTCAGGTCAAAGTTGCACATATGGTCACTAAATGTGTTATTCTTTGTAATTCTCACAACTAAAACTAGTAAATGTTACTTCAAAGGCACAGGAGATCTATCTGGTGGTGAAGAGTGGAATGGTAAATCTACAACACTCAAAGCTAAGTATGATAGCATTGATGTTGCATGTCAGCCTGCCTCAGTTGGTAGCACTCTCACCTCTAAATCAGAAGGTTATGGGTTCAAGTCCTGCTTTGGGACTTGAACTCACATAGTCTGGGGTGACACTCCAATGCAATGCTGGCGATCTGCTTTATTGTTGGAAGTGCCGTCCTTTGGATGAGATGTTTAACCAAGTTCCCTTCTACCTGTTCAGATGGATATTAAAGATTCCATGGCACTACTAGAAAAGTGTCCTGGCTCCTGGTGTCCTGGCCAACAATCCATTGGCGAGCGGGCCTTCAGCCTCTCTGCCCCCACCCTCTGGAACTCTATCCCACAGTTCCTCCGCCTCGCCCCCTCCCTTGCTGCTTCAAGACACATCTCAAGACCTTTCTCTTCAACTGTGCCTTTGGTCACCCTCCTACCCCTAACCTTCCCCACCCTTCATCCCTCCTGATCCCAACCACCAGCTCGGGTGCGGATCCCTGACTGTCCAGCTCCTTGCGACGTCCAACTGATGTGAAAGGCACTATACAAACGTAATTTGTTGTTGTGGTTGTTGTCATTCCTTTCATGCCTTTTCATGGGACATTGCTCTGTTCAAATCGGCTACCGGGTTTGTCTCCAGTACGACACTTCACAGTAAATCCTTGAGACATTTTACTGATGTGAATTGGTGCTATATCAAATGCAAGCAATATTGTATCATATACTATATTATTCATTATGTTTTTATGACCCATCTGTAATCAGCTTTTGTATTTAAAGAGATATAGTCATCTCATGTCCCATTATTACCCTTAAATGGAAGCTGGAGTGCTCTGAATTTCTCATGCTATCCTGCTCCTAATGGACAGTGAATATTCTACTCTGTTGCTTCTGCGGAACTAGAGTTTTACGTCCAGAGCATTGTTGATTGGTGGTCTAATGGCAGCCTGTAAAGAAATCAACTGCACTAAAACAGCTAGTTTTCCAACATTGATTTTCATTCCACAGCCCTCTGCAAAAAAACATATGCTGTTATCTTCTGTGCCAAAGTTATGATGGGGTCTCAACTGTGGCAGTTTCAAAGGGGATTAATTAAGGGGTCCATGTGGGCACTCGTAACACATGCACATGTTATGATTACTCACCAGAACTCACCACCAAATAATAATAATAATCCGTGCATTTGATATAGTGCCTTATTATGTTGTTAAGACATCTCAAAGCACTTCACAGAACATTTCAGTGACTTGCTCATGTGTGATCAGTCAGACATGTAAAACTATCATACAGCCTCTAAAATACTCACAATCATCCAAACCAGTTTCAACCAAATCTGGGATACATCTTGATTCATTCCGGATCACCCAATCCTCAAACGATTACCGGGCACTAATAAAGTATTCTGCAAATATTTACTATGAACGTGCTGGTAAAGCTGTCATATTAAAAACTTGTTCCATATCTATTGTAATCCTTCGGCACTGCAACCAAAAGTAGCATGAACATTCTTTAATATCATCCTGCCTGCTGATACAGGAAAGGAGTTACCAGAGCACAGCTGCCCTTTAAGTTCTTATATACAGGTATGTTTCATAACGGAGCAGTATTAAATGTTAAAACATGATCAAGTAATGTGGTGTTTATAACTTATTTATTGATCTATGTCCACAATTTGGTTCTCATAATTCAATAGCCAGGTAGAACTTCCATCAAGCAAGTGCATTATACATTAAAAACATGTGGTAATGGATATCCATCAGCAGCACAAACAATATAAAACATAATGGTGTAGACTACTCTAATACAACATGAATGATGTGCATTTTCCTGCTAAGGCCATTGGATGCCTAAAAGCTTGTCTTACTGTTAAATTTACAGTATGTTTAAATCTGAAGGAACATGAGCCATGCAACCATCAAAAACTATGATACCAAGATTTGGTAATTCTCTGTTTTAATAATCATAATAATCCTTGCATTTGTTATAGCACCTTATCACGTCCTCAAGAAGTCTCAAAGTGCTTCACAGAATATAATGTAAAGTAAATTGACTGTATATTTTGTGGGCGAAACGCAGCAGCCAATTGCGCACAGCAGTGTCCCACAAACAGTCGTGGATTAAGTGATCAAATTATTATTATTTTGATTTATTTTGAAGCCATTATTACCCCCAGAAAAGCGATCCACCAATCGACTAACAACTGGTTCGGGACTTACTGCTAGGTGAACAGACGCATGTGGAGTAAGGAAACTTGCCTAATGTACTGCCCTGCCCGAGAATTGAACCCAGGTCCTCTCGCATGCAATTGCTCTAAGCAATACGCTGAGGGACTCCATAAGTAATTTCAGCTTGAATACTTGTATTAGGGGTATGTTGAATTAAATTACATCTTGTTGACATCCACTTAAAATCTGGATAACTGTGGACAATAGACAAATTTGATTTTTCACATCTGTGTTAGTATAAATGTGATGGATGTTATTCCATTGCAAACGTTCAATAAGCAAGCTTATTCATGTTGTAATTCTTTGTAGCAAGCTAAGGCCCAATGCTGCTCATCTGTAAGCGTTTTCTTTCAAGTTGCACAATGGGCCTGTCTTGTACTATGGAAAACATGCAAATCTTTACATCAAAGAGGGATCAGGATTGATTCATCTTCATAACACCGGTATGTTAAATAAAGAGAGGCAATAGTTAAAGCAGATCAAAATGGCAACTATTCTCTGCAGATAGTCTGAGACAACTGGATTTTCCCCACAAGATAATACAGTACTTGTTTGTTAAAGATTGAAGCAGCTTGCTTGTACAAACAAGTCTGTTTTCAGTTTACTAGTTCTCTACAATTATTCTTTTGGGTTAAATACATCTTCTGTCATTTTATCTCAGTTATGCATGCTTATCTAAGTGCTCCAGATACTAGATTTATGTGATCTGCATGGAACTGCAACCAGAAAGGAAACAATTGCAGCTGCGAGTGACATCATTCTCTCCTTGCAAACAAAATGGACCTTTCTGACCCTTTTCACTCATTATGTGAGTGTACACCACAGCATTTCCGTCCCCTTGTTGTAGTAGCCAACAATCGCTTGAAACCTCAGTGGAAGAGGTTTATAGGCCGGGTTGTCCAAAAATAAAAAGAATCAGCATGTTCGTGTTTGCTTTAAAATACAAATGTAAATGAATATGAGACCCAACATATTGCACAACCAAGAATTGACATGTTATAAAGGACAGAAGGCTGTGAGGACAGAAATTTCCACCACACAAAGATCGACACTGGTCTGTACAGAGCTTTCTCATCACGTTCAAAGGTCATATAGGTTTGCACTATTTATGGGAGATGTGCGACATTTGCAAAGTGGAGCGTGTGCTATTTTGTATGTCTATTTTACCCATCTGAAATGCTAAACAAATGAAAACAGGATCGACTATCATCAATCTGGTATATCCAAGCAAATAGCTAATGCATTTAATTGCAGTAATTGTGTCACTATCAGTTTAGTACCTTTCTAATAATAATAAAGATTATTGTTATTATTATTATGCTTTCAGTTGTCAGTTTAGCTCAGAAATACACAGACAAGTCAAAAAACATAGCATCAAAAGAAACTTCTACTATCCTATTTTAATCACTGGTCATCACTATTACTGATAAGGAGGGAGGTGTTTTTATCCACTAAACGTTAAAATAAGTTGTCACTTGGCAACATGAAACATATCGAACAACTTCTTAACTCATTCAATTTCCAGAGACAAGGCGGTGGCAGAGAATAGTAATCCTAACAAATGTAATGACAGATGAAAACATCCAGCCACTCCTGCAAATATTAACATGGAAAAGAGTGATTTCAAGGCTGTAATCTAATCTCAGGGTTCAGATGGCATTTATAAACCACTCAAGCTTCACTCTCATGGTTTATGATGTCATCTTGGCTCTCGGTTGGATTACAGCCTTGTAATCACTCCTTGCTATTCATTATTCTGTATGTTATCCATTGCTGTTAAAACCATAAATTCCTGTGGTTCATACCTCAACCTTTTGCCCTAAATTGCTTAAACTCACATGCATCAATATTTATTCTCAGCCAGCTGCCCTTGTAAATGACCAATGTTCTGACCAGTCTTGTTAACAATTTCCATGGGTAACTCACTCCATTCCCACAAGAGCAATCAATTCTCATGAGAAACTCATTTCTATAATGAATGTCTGCTACACATTTTATTTAAAGGGACCATAACACATGCATTGATATCACATCACAGAGGTACCTACCTGCCATGGGTTATAAGAGACCTGTCTCCGCTAGTGGAACATGTAACCTCACATCTATGTCTAAAAACTGTAGCAGTCTTAGGATGTGGTTGTTAGGATGATTTTAAACCATTTGAAGACTGACTGTATTAGAATTTAAACCTATAAAACTTCAAATTTCTATCTAATTTCAACATGATGAAACAACATTTCTCATGCTAAGACGCGTTGAAAGCTTACGGTGAAAATTCAGCAAACAGAAGCTTACTGAGCACAATTACAAACTGCCTTCAGTCCTCCCTTCTCCATACATCAAAAAAGCAAACATACAAAATCAGAAAAATTTTCCAAATTTCCATACAACTGATTTCAACTGGATTGTCCGCCTTCTGTTAACAACCTGTCTGATATTTGCTGCACTTCTGCAATGTCAATAAACAAGAAATAGTTTCTCATTGCATCTAAGAACAGGCACACACACACAATTCTCATATATCATTGAAAGTTGTATGATACTAATTTTAACTATTTTACATTGAATCACCTATAATAAATTAACAGTATTTACATAATGAATTTCTTCTGATCTTTTTAAGTTGTGGTTGTGGACTTCACGGCTGATCTTTCCATCAAGTTACTTTGATCTTCGATATAAAAATTGTCTATTTTTAACTTACCGTATTTTGCATTTTCAATACTTATATAATAGCCCTTTAATCCAATTGAATTGAACGCTTAACCATTCTTGTGGGTATTCTTCAGAGTTAGTCCACTCATTCAAAAGTCAGTTCAATAGAGCTATGCTTAGAAGTAAGCTATATTTGACATATGTGAAGAATAGTGCTCAGTGGCAGTACGAGAATAACCTTCAGTGATAAATTAAGCAATAACCCCCGTGTACTCTACTGGGGAATTGAGGATAGGTCAGAGGATTGAAGGATGATGCCTCAGGTGTCGTCCTTCAATTGCCTGGTTTATCCTCAATTCCTTGCTACTACCCATGCACAAGTATGTTGTTCCTACTCAATCACTGTTTCAAAATGTTGAAGACAATGAGGATAGACTTTTGTGTTTAAATATGGCACCTCAGTATACCCTTGGTCGAACCAATCGGAATGTGGGATTGTCCACAGGTACGGTTAAAATACACCACGATCTTGCATTTAAACTTACACGCAAATTTGCCAAATTGTTACTCAGTTAAAACAATTTCAACTGAGAGCAAAGCGAAAAATAAGTAAAAACAACTGCATCCCTAATCCACTAAAAAATTAATTAGCATTCAATTGTGGACCAGAATACAGTAACATTTGGCGAAAGTGAATCCCAATATGAATCAACAAGCAATATCCAAGTCTCCAAAAGCAAATAGACACAACCTCACGAGAGTCTAAATATTAATTCTTGTTTCCTTAGAATAACTTTCAAAGTTTTCCTTGAAAGGTGTAAAAAGGCATTTTAGCCCGTGTGACCTCGTGGCTGTTCACTTGCCCACCTCTCTGGAAAGTTAACACTTGGTAAACTTAGGTAACTTGAAAAATAAAAAAAAAGATTTTGAAATATTAGCAGCTGACGATGAGAAATGTATCCTTTTCTAGCTGGTTGTCAGTGTTTAATGGTAAAGCAGAATGCATATGGGCCAGTCCAGGCATGAAGGGCAGTAGGACACTCATGCGACAAGATACTCTGTCCCTCAGTGAGATCAGAAGCCTGTCACTTCCCTCATCCAGACTGTCAGCCTTGAGACATTAACTAGCCTCACCTCTGTGTTGTATACTCCATATATCAGGAAGATGAAGAGACCCTGTAAAGACAAAAGGAAGGGAAAAAAAGCTGTTAAGTGTAATCATTTATTGACTTGCAATTCTGAAAAAAAAGTTTCCTGCAAACATACACAAAGGGGCTTTGGAATCGACAAGGTCGAGTTTTATTTTTCAATTTCATGAACCACAGCTCAAGTATCTACCAGAGAGTACAGCAGCTCTTTAGGATTCTCTGTTACCCAAATGAATAGTAGTCAAGGCTATCAAAACAATTGAGGACCTTGGGAAGGGGCTGGTTCCATTGAAACTGCAACAACAATTAGCACAATCAATGTTGATGCAGAAACTCATTAGTATGAATAAGCAACACTGAAATCAATGCATATTATTCAAAAAATCTGAAAATGTTCTGTAAACCATCAATCAAACAAAAAGGAAATCCAGCTTCAGACAATAAACTGTCTCTTTCATTAAAACATTCTGAATGCAACATTTTCACACATCGGTTCTATATAACACCAGACACAAATTTCCTCTCTTGGTTACAAAACAAATGGTTGGTACAGTTGATAGTACTCTTTATTCTGTGTCATAAAGACCTGAATTCAAGCTCCACACCATGGCGTGGAGTATAGTGCTGTGGGTGCCATCTTGGACACGAGACTTTAAACCGAGGTCCAGTCTGACTGTTCAGGTAGCAGTTATTAGATCCCATGGCACTATTCAAAAGGAGTTTCTCCTGGTGTCTGGGACAACACTTACACATGAATTGGTCATTCACCTCATGGATGTTTGTGGGCGTTTCCTGGTGCAATAGCCTTGGTGTATATTCACAACTACTTTTACTATACTTGATAATGCAACCCTTCTGTCCTCTACGCTCCCTGTCATTAAACAATGACACTGGGATCTAATTTGCAGTTCAAAGTAAAAAATTCTACATGTACTTGGATTCCGCAAACTGCCGACTGAATCTGTGAGTGGGAAATTGATTGCATTATCTGGCTTCATGGACATCAGCACAGAGGATGATGATTGGGGAGTTGTGACCCACCTCTGGTTACATCTGGGTAAATTCCTCATAGATACATTATAGCTTTATAATTGAATCTGTATATTATACATCACTATCACTTGGTCAATGTGTGTGCTCTTCATCTGAAGCTCCCACCAACGGAATATATCTGAAGCATCAAGCTTCCAAAGCCATTAGATGGTGCTCCTGCTGTTCCTCTTTTAGCGGCTGTGTTTCACTTTCAGGTCAATGCTGACACGTTTCGTCTTAGGCAGCAATTGCTGAGCAATTGAATTGCTGCTGTCAAATGACAGATGTATTTAGCTATCTCTGTAAATGTCCTAAAAATGATTCTTTAAATTGGTGCTTCGGCACAAATGGTATTTACAGAATGTAAAGTGGAGATGAGTCTGGAAGTATGGTTTGCACCCTGCTGTATACTTACAGTTGGTGCACCTGGATTTGTGACAAATTGAAGTCCTAATGGGTATCTAATTGCTGAGTTTAATTCCCAGTTTCTAAACAGTATTTGTTCATTGCCTCTATGTCCACTACCAGCCTATTAAAATAAATAAATAAACAAACAAACCTTACATTTGTCAAAATATCTCAAAGCTGCTTCACATTAGTTATTGTCATGTGCAATAACTGTTTCTGTAAGCAAACATGGCAGTCAATTTGGGCACTGCTAAGTACCCCAACAGCCATGAATTATTCGTCTGGAGGCTGGGAGAAACTCCGCTTTTTTTTCAATAGTGTCATGGAATATTTAATGTCCACCTGAACAGGCAGACAAGACCTCGGTTTAATGTCTCATCCAAAGGACAGTACTGCCCAACTGGAGTGTCAGTCTAGGCTATGAATAAAATAGCACACAGTGACATGCATTCAATTATTTTTTAACCATTTATTGAGGTTACAAAACCTCCGGAGTTGTCCATTGTTAAAGATCTCCAAGGTGGTGTTTTTCTTTCATTTCTTCCACCCGTGCCCCCTCCCCACACACCCCGGTTCAGCATGATAAAAAGATTGTGTGACAATATCAAAACCCCAATTGCTAAGAGAATGGTCCGATGGGCTACTCGTACATCTTTTATGGCAAACAATCTGTACTTTGCACAGAAATTGAGCACATATTTGTGCAAGTTCATAAATCAGCACAAATAGGCTCTAAAAATAGCAATTTCACATGAACTCAGAAGAAAATTGTGATACATGTGGAATTGCACTTGAACTGCACTCTAAACACCAGACACAATATGTATTTTTCACTGTATGTTTTAAATGACTCCGGCGGTCGTAATTTTCAGCATTTCCTTCCAGCTGCAGCTATTAAAAGCCAAACTTTGACAGGTTTTATAACCTTTCCCTTACCACCCTTTCTTTTCAAACTATTGTTTTTATGAAATGTTACTTTCGTTCAATGAGTGATTCAACAATCTGCAATTGAATGTTTGAGCAGGTCATAAAAAAGATTAAATCATTCATTGCAAAGCTATAAAAAGTTACAAAGTACTTCACTGCCAATACCAACAAATCAGATTATGACGTATTGTTCTCTGGTTCTGTTTGTTGTGTTAAAAGGTGCTATTGTAACTATGGAGCAATAATGTAATTTCAATCAAGTGTTGGACATGGTTTACCCAATAATGTTAAACTGAGGATATAAAGTTTTACTGAATTGTGGGCAAATCCATTAAAGAATTGCATCATTTATGATATCAAGTTGCCTCCTCAATATAATTTTATACCTCTGAATATTTCTGAGGTCTTTTGATCTGATCAGAGCACGAAGGCTTATTCAGGCCACGTAGAGTGACATTACTAGTTTCCCTTTTAATATACACATATGGTGCCATCCCCATTGATCAGTAATAGACATGAATATAAATGACCGCTAGGAGGTGGGCTTTCAAATGTCATCGGCATGCAATATAATACATCAAATAAGTCAAGAAACACATGGACTAGTAGATCTTCCATGGGCCACAGGTAGAGAAATGTTATCAGTACTACAACAACAACAATTTTAATTTATATTGTGTCTTTCACATAGTATAATGTCACAAAGCACTTTACGGAGATGGAGTGGAAACTCAGTACCATTGATTGACGTTGCATTTATACTGTAAGCTTGGCAGCAAATCAACTTGATTTTTCCAGTCATTCCCTGCCAAATGTGTAGCATAAATGAGGACTCAGACATAACAAATCATGTTATTTGAGAGTGGTAGGTTAATATTACAGTAATATAGCTATTCACATGTTCGAGTGGTTTTATTTTTGTAATATTAACGTTTGTTTCATTAGGGCAAGAACTGAAAATGTGCAGTCAGTCCTCTCTCCCTGACACTCCCCGGCAGAAGTATCAATAGAGCAACTACCATTGCAGAGATTGAAAGAATAATCCCATCTATATTGTTACATAACATCTTAATTGCTCTTGAAAAATGAGGCTACACATTAGTCACACATTACTCCATGCACATTCATGTAAATAACAATATTGAACTGGCTACATGTGGGCTTACAAGAACCAAGAACCGTCAAAGCATTTCTTGCATTGCAAAAGTCTTAGGACATCCTCCCGACATAAAAGGTGCCCTATAAATGCAATGTGTTGCTGTTTGTTGTTGTTGTCTTATTTATATTAGTACCTTGATGATTTATTTGAGAAAGTGTGCAGGGATGTAGCACACACGTAAATGAAAGCATGAAATAGCCAAAGCTAATAAGGTCCCAAATTGGGCACAGCAAGAAAATCTAACAAAAGAGCTGGATTTTGAAATGCCAGATAAAACTCAGAACCAAAGCAATTAACTGTATACAGCAAGCACTTAATTGCATACAGCAGGATAAAGCAGAAAAAGGAGTAGAGGGTTTGCATCTTTCACTTGCTTGCATTCCCCCAGGAGATGGACTGAAGAGAATCCACATCTTGTCCAAAGGCCAAAGACTGTTTTACTCTATTTTCTTTCAGAAACTCAAACACCATCAAAGAGCTTCATGAATGTTTTTTTGCAACCTATGTCACAAAGATTTCAAAGTAATAGTCCTTCAATGCCTCAGGATTTAAGAACACTTAAGCGTAAGTCAGTGTTACTGTATTTCAGTAATCAGTTCCAAGAGGGAAAAAAGTCAATGTACAGCAATCACTTGTAAATCTCTTGATTAATGAGATTCATTAGATTTTATGAGCCTCAAATCAATAAGTTTCAGTTGTTAGTCCGATATTGTCTTGTGCTTCTACTGAAAATCTATTACTTAAATTTACCAAGAAAGAAACTCTATCATTGGCATAAAAAATACTTAAATCTTAATACTCACACAACTAGTTTAAGCAGTGCAATATATTTTGTTTAGAATTTATGACTGAGGTTTAAGAAATTAAATTGGCACCCGACAACAGTTGAACCCCACCTTACGTGTACCTCAGCAACGAGGGAAACTCAACCAACCCTAAATCCCAAATTCATTACTTAAGTCACCTAACCTATAAGGGTAAATAGGACAGTTTGTAGACCGCCCCTAATACTACTACTACTACTAATAATAATAGTAAGTTTTCACTGTCATTTCTATATCATTTTCCCACACTGTTGTAAATGTGCCTCTATAAGCCTTACTGAACTCCCACTCCCCTCCTACCACTTCTTTCAAATGCTCCGAGATGCTCCCCACATGAAGGGCGCTATATAAAGTTGTTGTTCTTTGCCACCCACGGCACTTTAGGCTGCTTTGAACCAATTATTACAATCATTTGTTATTACATATTGTATCTCCTCATGCATATTTCTAATTAACATGACATTGGTAAAAGGATTTTTTTCAATATTTGTATGTATAATAAAATGTAATGTTAATAATCAATCAGTTTCTACCCATTGACTAGATTTAGATTAAGTCAGGAATAAAAACAAATATTGTCCTTTAATGGTCACCATATCATTTTCCCTTATTTTGTTCTGGCCAAAGTTTGAGAGTAAAGGAAAACAAAGATTTGAGGGGTATTCTATTCTGCTCATT